AGGTGGTGCACTGTAACCGAAAGGCATTCTGAATGTTTGGAAACAAAACAAAGGTGCTCTCCAAGGGAACCGTTTACGGTCCGCACATGGTGACGATGCCGGCTACGATGACGAGCATCATTCTCGTCATTTTTCCTACCTTCTGGCCCAGCTCCTTTCTATTGGCGGGCAGGCGTATCTGCCGGGAACCGGGCCCAGCATCCCTTGAAAGCGGCAATGGGAATGCAGTTTGCTTTCTTCTTCTTCTTTTTTTTTTTTTTGCAGTTTGCTGTAACTACAAGTTTACACTAACTAAACGCTTCGCTACGTTACGGCCGAGGGAACCCTGGCAGTGGCGATTTCTTGCCGGGGAAGTATTGACTGTGGGTTGTCTTTTTTTTTTTCTTTTTTTTTTTTTGTGTGTGTGTGTGTGTGTGTGTGTGTTGCAAATGTCATTTCTGTAGAATCGTGGACGGTGTGGGTATGGGAAGGTTTGTAACGATGTACCGTACCTGTGATGGAAAGAGAATAGATTGAAGTGGTCGTCCGTTTGGATCGATAATGTCTTGGCTGGAACATCGGATCATTGCAAAGGTGTGTGTTGTGACCAGTGTTAATGGAGCAGTACCCCAGGGGGCTCTAAGGACCCCTCTGACGCCAATGCGTATGGACCCGTCCGGCGCACGGATTCAGCCACCTCGTTATCGGACTAAAAGCGTGGAAGTAATGGTGGTTAAAACCACCAGTAGGTACTGACCGGTTGTAGGGCCACAACTTCCTCGCTGCAACTTTTGGAGGGCCGCGCGGCGACGTTGGCCGCGGATGTAAAATCTGAACGGACGCGAAGCTCCCGATAATTGTGAGGCGTTAACGTGAACGCCCTGCGGCCGTACAGGGGTGGAGGTACTGGGTGGTTTAAACCATCAGGAAAGAGCACGGCCGACGTACTCATTACCACAAAAGAAGAAGAAGAAGAAAAAAAAAAAGACGAACACCCCTCTGGACGTGATACAAGGTAGATACCTGCCCCAATGTTGTTGTGCAGGTATGTTCTCAGTGAGGGCTTTACGGAAGGGGCCTGGACCCACTAGCGAAGTATTCTTAAGATGTGTGATGCAATTTTATGGGTTTATGGAAAAGACAAAGTGAATTTTTTTGGCATGAATGGATCGTTTTCTGATTTAAAGGAATTGAAAAGGCACATAAAACAAAGAAGAACAGAGGTGCACTCGAATTCATGGGTTGTTGGTACGATCTCCTGCACGTAAGTCTTCTTAGTAATGTACCGTGGCAATAAAATGTGTCCAAGAACACAGGCATGAGGATGAAGAAGTAACGGGTATGGGGATAAATTCATCACCATGTATCTCATGAGGCCTCTAACAGGCCATCCCATCCAACAGACGCGGAGGCGTTCCTGTCACGTCCACCACAATATTTGAATTTCACATTTAAAGTTCTATTTCTCAGAGCAAAAAAAAAAAAAAAAAAACGAAGTCTGGATATCAACCCCCCCCCCCTCCCTTTTTCGAGTCCATAAAATACAGACTTCCGGCCCACGCAAAGCTGCGAGCTATCATGTCCATTTTTTTTTCTTTTTTTCTTTTTTTTTTGTTTTTCGACGCATCTCATTGGACGCGAGGTGGGCACCTTTACAGTCCCCGCTTGGAAACTACCAGGCCGTCGAGATCTGATGTATTCGACGACCGTACTGCGTCACTTGAGGCCGCACGTGAACAAATCCTGAACGGAGTGGTCGAATACTTTTGCTAATGGGTCCAGGCCCCAGGCGTGACAGGTCCTCGGAAAAAGAGAAGAAAGAAAAAAGAGAAGAAAAAAGCAATTGAAACTGAACTTAGGGCGGGAAAGCGGGTTGATACATTCTGCAAAGTTGTAGTGTGGGCATGTTCTCCTGCACAAAGTGTCAGCAGCCCGCGGACTGCGCCGTGCCTCCCTGGCAGGGAATGAAAACAAAAGAAAAAAACAGACAAAAAAAAAAACCAGCGGCAACGACAACCTGAAACTGCCCGCAATCGTAGTTAGATACTTTCTTGTGAGTATTGGTGTGAGCACAGCTTCGTGCACGGCCTTCCTGTACTCGATCGTTGTTTTTTTTTTTGCTTTTCTAAGGGGCCCACAAGGCCCAACTGCCGAGCCTCCGCCGAGCCCCAAAAAGTTCGGGGAAGGTGGGAAAACAGCGACTTTTCCTATTTTTTTCCAACACTGGTGGAGGTAGGCCACACACATCACACAGCATGACTGTATGATGATGTGTCAGTCTGTTGGCTAGCAGTGCCTAGCCCTGCCTAGCAGACATCCATATACCCTGTATTACGGCTAGAGGGAGATCCCACTAGCAGCATAAGTGGCACATGTTTGAGCCTGCGTAACAGCTATATGAGGAGGTGATATATTAGGTGGGGAACATATGGAAAAAGATCACGAGAAAAATAATAGAGTGGTCTTGGCACGTTCAAATGCCAGTTTCTTGGTGTATTCTGAATTGTTCCACGAACATGCTCAGCACATCGGGTGGACGCTGGGGGCATTGCGAGATGCTAGGTTCAAGATTGCGTTGGAGAAAAATGAGTTTTTCCTTTCGAAAATCTCGTTTCTGCGGTATGGGGTGACACTGGGAGGTTTGAGGCCAGATTCAAGAAAAGTCGAGGTGGTTCGAGAAGCCCATACGCCCACGTCGCTGACGCAGGTTCGATCCTTCCTGGGGCTGGCCTCGTACTACCGGAGGTTTATCAAGGGGTTCGCGGCAATAGCTCGACCTCTACCAAACCTCCTACGGAAAGACCAGTCATTGAAGTGGGACGGGGACTGCGAACAAGCCTTTGTCGTCTTCAAGGAGGCCCTGGCTTCCGCGCCTATTTTGATTCGGCCCAATCCTGGAAAGCGGTTTATACTTACAACGGATTCGCAGCCTGAGGCGATTTCCGCTATTTTGGCCCAGAAGGGGAAGGACCTCCGCGAACAGGTCATCGAATACGCCTCGCGAACTATACCCGACGAACGCTGGAATGACTCGGCCCTGCAGGGGAAGGACGACTGCGAACACATCATCGAATACGCTTCACGAACTGTACCCGACGAACGCTGGAACGACTCGGCCCTGCAGGGAGAATGCTATGAGGTTGTCTGGGGAATTCAACACTTCTATGCATATCTGTACAGACATAAGTTCCTCCTTGGCACGGACCACGAGCCCCTGCTAGCTTTGAAAAGGTTCACTAACTGCACGGGCATGTTCGAACGATGGGTTGTCCGACTACAGGAGTATGACTTCGACATCGTCCAATGGAAGACGGAAAAGCACGGGAATGCAAACGAATTGACACAACTATATTGGCCAAGCAAGGTGACCAAGGTCGAAGAGATTACTCCGCGGAAGGAGTCGCACCCAACCAAGGAACCCTCGTACAAAGAAGTGGCCATTCTCCACCGACCCTCCAGGAAGTGACACGTAGACAGTATGGCGATGGGTGGAGAAGGTAACTCTAGAGGCCCTCTTTCTCCCCTCTTAACTTCTTCTTTTCTCTCCTTGCCCGACAAATTCTTTCATTTTTGCGAAGCAATATCGCGAGTCTATTCGATTCCTATGCATCCTAGTGGGGAAGGGTATGCGGAATGGATAAATTGTCAACAGTGTGTCTTTCGGGCCCACAGCTCCTGGATCCAATACAGAAGTCTGGACAAACCCTAGTTATGTCCCTTGTGTCGAGCCGATAAAATCCCGACGGAAGCTCGATTCCTCGAAGCCACGTCCGAAGGGTTAGAAAAGACACGTCGATTCCAGCGTGCCAAGGTATGGACGGATGTCGTCTTGATAGCCGCAGTGGTTGCAAACTCTCTCTGAGAATTCAACAAGGACGATCGGAGACGAGCCAATGAAAGAGAACGGGATTACCGATGGAATGATGGATGGTTAGAGAAACGAAAGACTAACCGTAGTGGGATTTGGATGTCAGTGCCTCGTCCATTTATGAAGTGCGGTTGGGTTAAGTCAACTCAAGAAGAAACCGCCGCCCACTTTCCTGTCAAGATTATGGAATCGGCCATCGACAAAAAACGAGTGGTATTGGTCCAATATTTGTGACGATGTTAAATTCATTGTTAGAAATTGTTCAGTTTGCGCGGCAGATAAGGCGCCGATTCAACCGCCTGGGTCGATAGTGCCCACTGTAGTCGAGCGACCATTTCAAAGGGTTAGCATGGATACCACAAAATATTGTTGTGCCCCCTAGGCCTAATAGTCATGAATATTCAATTCTTTTGGTATTCGTGGATCATTTTTCGAAATGGATCGAGGCCTACCCCTGCAAATCGTGACAGACAACAGAAATTATGCGATGTGTCAACCGTTTCCTCGCAATGCATCAAGACACCGAGGAAATCCTAATGGACAACAGGGCAGAATTCCGAGGAGAGGTCCTGAGGAGCCTAGTCGTACATCACGTCTCTATTCGCAATACAAACCCCATACATCGCAATCAAATGGATTGGTAGAGAATGCGAATCGGGTGATTAAGACCGCTCTGCGGCGAAATATTGCGGCGCGAGACACGAGGCGTCGGCCCGATATGGTGGACCACATCCTAGCTATCCACCAGGGGACCCCTCATGAGTCCACTGGCCTGACCCCTTTTCAGTGGCTTGCGTAGCTTTATCGAGCCTAAACGACAGACGACCCTTGCGCGACGAGCCACGAGAGCGGCAGTCAAAGACAAGGCCCAACGTCACTTAGAATTGATGGAAAAACCCCTCCCGTGGTTAGCGTGAAAAAGACAGCGGATGACTGAAATGGCCCACACACGACAGGTTCAGAGCTATGAGGCCCGAAATGGGAATGCTGGGCATTAGCCTTAGTATAAATTAGGGGACGTAGTGCAGGTGAGGAAATGTGCTCGCCAGGGCAAGTTAGCGCCATAATTCTTCGGCGGATTTTTCGTAGTTGAACTCTGTCCTAGCGAAGTGAACACTGTGCGGCTTGCGCCAGAGGTCTCGGGAAGCCGATCGGCTTGACAGATCATCCGATACGTGTCATATCTTCGTCCCTTGACTCCTTCTCGTTCTCCCCCATCGTCCACGTCATCCTTAAATTCTGCGGAGGAAGACGACGATCTCGAGCTCGATTACTCTGATTCTCCTTCCTTTAAACCTCCATCTCTAACTCCTCCCCCATCGCCATGAGATTTTCTATTGAGCAGGTCATTAGCGAACGTCTAATGAGACCTGGGGGGCATATTTCGTCGATCCGGCAGGTGCAGCGGCGTCCAGATCTGCTTCGATTTGCAACTTTCTTCAATACGGTGGCCGTCCACGAGGCAGCAGAATTTCGCTTCGCACGCACCAGCGATCGAGCGCAGGTGCTGGCCGAGGTGTCGATTTTTCTACGACTGTCTCTACCAGGTGTCATCCATGTGTTTGTAATTGTCACCTTCACTGGCGACCTTACGACAGTGACCGTCCTCTGGCAATTACGACTCTGCGCACAGGATCTCACGGCCGCCTGTGTCCAGCTGTTAGCACTACCTGGCGATCGGATCACTCCATGGACGATATCGATCTCAACCAGCTTCGACTCTCTCCTGACGCGCTGGAGGTCATCATCCCAGAGCTTCTCCCCTTCGTACCACCCCAATGAATCGACATCGACTATCGGGATTCCTTCTGATCTCCTTACTTTCTGGCAGTCCGCTACGAACGTCCCGCTCGCTTTCCGGATTAGACAGTTGGACGTGTCGATCCTTGACGCCAGCAAGTGGGCAGAGTGGTGGAACGAGTACATTGCGCTCAACTTCTGCCTTCTCGAAGTAGTGTTCCATTGGGCGGAGCCAGCCAATAAGGACGAGGAGGACGAAGTCCCTAATGACGAGGTGGAGTTGCTGATCGTCCAAGCTTGGAGAACGGATACGGAGGGAGAACTGCTGGGGATTCTATTCGGGAAGGTCGGGGACGACCTTTTGGAGTCAATTATGGGGGAAGTTTTGGTGTTCCTGGCCCATCTCCTGGACAACCTGCCTCTAGACATTCTTTCGAGGTGTGACGAGCAGTCCAATATAGCCGCGCTCACCTGAACGTTACGGCATCTGTTGTGGTCCACGCGTACAGAGCTCGCCGAGGACAATTGCTACTATCCCTCCTCAGGCCATTACTTGGTTATTGACGTGAGCGATTTTTTATTTTATTTTATTTTATTTATTATTATTATTTTTTTTTTGAAACACACCCCCTGCAAAGCTAGTGGTGCTGGTAAGAGTAGACACCACTAGCACCCGGGGAGGGGCTCCATCTATTGGTGGGGAGCATCACCTATTGGAAAACGGGTCCAGCGTCCCATTACAGAGTGGAAAACAAAATGAAATGATACTGAATTGCCCTCCCAACATTGATTAGTCTGGCATCCAGAGAATTGACTGTGCAAGTTGCCAGAGGATTGATTGTGCAGGTTGCTAGAGGGGAAACCTCTTTGCCCCAGTGCCCGGAGCCAAATATCTGATGCTGCAGAACTAGTTCCACCCTTCCTCCTTGAAAAAAACTGCATTGCCCCACCTCCCCCGTTTGGGTACGAGGCTTGTTACATCAACATGAAGGCTGCGGATAAGTATGGGGATCCGCTATCCCATGGAGCTGCCTATATCACCCATCCCATCTTGAGGCGCCCCTTATCTATTAGCCCAACCTTCTTCAGCAGCCCCCCTTTGCCAGCGTTGATTACTCTGGGATTGGAGAAGGGAAGAACGTCTTCGCCCTGAACCAGGCGCCAAATGTCTGCTGCAACAAGCTAACTCTTCCTTTTCTACCAATCTCCAACTACCAATCTTGAATCATCCCAGGATTTCAGTCCACTTCATCAACGTCGTACCATTGCAAGGCCACCATTGCTAACTGGTGGGGTGGGAAGGGATCTGGGAATTCTGTGGATGGTCGAAGCGGGAATTCCTGGCCCACCACAAGCCCCCATCCTCACTGCCCAACCAGTCCCTTGAGAATTGCTGAATTGTTTGCATTATATCTTTGGCTGAGTGCAGTTGGTCCAATTGAATCTTAATCCTTTGCCACTGAATCTTGGTCCTCCGAATTCTCACATTGAGGAACAATCCAAGATTGGGGGCGATCAGTAGGAAACCAAAGTTGTAATTCAATTGTCATGACGTTGAATATTTGGAATCGTTGATTACTTTGTTGGATGTATTGTTTTATAAACTCTGTCACCTCCCCCTCCGCCTTGAGGGCTCCCTCTATCGCATATATACAACGTTTCCTCCAGAGGGCCCATATGACCGCTCTCCTTCCTATTTTAAACATGTTGTTCTCAAAAGTTTTATCCGTGAGGGAGGACCATGTCGATCTCAGTTTGTGGGATCCGATCATCTGACGGGTGGAGGAGGGAGGAGTAGCTGACGACGCGGAGGCAGAGGAGGAGAGAGAGGAGGAAAGCGAAGAAGAAGATTCGGAGGTCGGATCGGACGACCATGATTATCACAAATATGAGGAAAGTGAGTTGGAGAAAGCGAGTCCGACGAATCGGGCAGGCCCAACGAGCAGAGTAAGGAAGAGGACGAGGATGCAACACAGGAGAGAGAGGGAAAAAGGAAAGCGGTCAGTGGAGGAATCGGACGAGCCAGCAACGCGGTTGTCACAAGGTGATCCGACGCGCAATCCGGAACCGTCGCAGGAGGAATCCGGAGGAAATTGGGTCGCCACCGCGGAGGGATCCAGAAGCAGACGCCGCAGGAGAAGTCCAACGACGGCTCAATCCTCTCCACCTCCGCGGCCCATCATTCGCATACGTGGAGATGTGGGCGTTCGGGCTTGATCCCCGGTCATTATCCCGTCGTCCCCTTAATTTTTCTGCCGTCCATCATCTCGCAGGCCGACCCCCGTTTCCTTCCAGCTGGTATCCTTTCCCCCCTTCCCTTTTTCACCAACTTTATTCCACCCGCCTCATCATCAACGTCTTCCCGCACGCCACTACTCGCTCTATCGTAGCTACCTTCCCCTTCCATGTCCTTCTTTTCAGCACGGCATGGTAGGAATATATAATAATATAGAAGTCTATTGCATCATCTCTGGCACCATCCCCGCGTGCGAAGATTATGATAGCTTCCACACCAAGATTCCCCGCACCCTCTGTACCCTTTACCCTGATTACCTCGCTTCGCTCCCACATCAAGATCATCGCTTCCCTTGCATCCATCGCACCATCCACTATGCCTGACTCCCCACTGGAGATCAAGAACGGAGTCGCTTTCTACCACCTCTCCCCCAGGCTCACCCTCCTCTCCCTCCACCAGTCATAAGACTACCCTTCCCCGACAACCTCTCGGTCCGAAGCTCAAATGCCACCTTAGATGACTTCCACACTCTCATCATACGGTAAGTGGCAAGTGTCGGCTCCACGACGATCGTCGGCTCCACGACGATCGTCGGCATATTTTAGGACCAGTGAATGGCGGAGAGCAAGCAAGAGCTTGCTCAAGATTGCAAATCCCTGGGCGTCACATATGTGACAAAATGTTTTCTGCAACCGCGCGATTTCTGCGCAAGGCTATTTCAGGGGATGAAATTGGTTGAGTTGGGATGGCCTGGTGAATTGCATGGATACCCCTGCTTTTCTTGTCTCTTTCGAATGAAGGCTGGTCTGCTCCTACGACGGTTGATAGTTGATCGTGCCTTAGAGATCGCGACGAATAACTGCTGCCATAACTTCTTTCTTGTTCTGCTGTGGGAAATGAGAATTTTTGGCGTGATTGCCTTGCAGGAAAATCTTTCTAAATTTTCAACTGATATCGAGCCCCCACGGACTCCTGGAATTTGCTTCGTTCATATTTTCTTTTTGCAATTACGATTTAGACTAGGAATTTGGGTGCATTTTAATTTATGTTGTGCAATGCTTTCTGCTTGCGCACGCTCGGGCGCGTCAGGAAGTGTGTTCTGACTTTTTCGCGCCTTAATCTCGCATGTAGTTGTAATATTTGTTTTGGCGGTCGTGATTGCAACTGTAATCCTCTCGTTCTTGATATCTTTTGTGGCGCCTTTGCGCGCTCATACCTCTCCCCCGTCCTATTGGCCTGAACACTTGCATGACCGGATTGATATGTAGAGAGTGGTTACGTCACCACGCCGCGGCCTGGCCATGCAGGCGTAGGCACTCCCTTCCTCCTTCTACCTAAACACAATCCCGAGTATCTCGCACAAGCATGTGTGCTATAAATTTCGCAAACGCAATTAATTCGCTCTCTAAGCATTTGTGGAAGTTACTGCGGTTGAGAGGATCCGTTAACGAGTGAAAGCTGGCAGGTGAGTAGAAAGTTGGGCGATCCAACAAGCTGATGTTGAGCGTGCGGGATTGACGTGGGGCCGCGACAGACTGTGGCACACGGGCGAACCTGGCTGGCATGCTTGGATCAAGCGGGGTGACAACTCTGTGCAGGTACGAGGCGGCGGTTGGATGCTTTAAGCCACATTGCGCAATGGGAGTGACGTTGGCTAGGCTTTGATTGAATTGAAAGCCCATCGAAATTGGTTGTGAGACGGCGCACCGTAAAAATAGGGATAAAAAGCTATTTTATCTACAGAAGAGTTTATGCCCAATGGATTATTGGAACCATATTGATGTAAAGCGGCAATATGAAGAATACTAGCACCTGCAATTATAAAAGAAAGTAAGTAAGGTGATGAGGAGAGAGAGAGAGAGAGAGAGAGAGAGAGAGAGAGAGAGAGAAACCGGAAGTGTGCGATTCTTCTTCTGCCCCTCTAAGCCATTTCAATTCTTCCTCTTTCCTTCTGAGCAATTTTGGTATTCGGCGCGAGTCGCCCCTCTTTTTTTTTTTGATTGGCCTTCGGACTTGTCATTTGCTTTTTTCTATTGATGTGTATGTTTTCATTTGCTCTCCTCATGTGTTGATGAATGGTTGTTTTTCTCCCCTCCCCTTCTTTGTCCTTTGATGGGTCTAATTAATTGATCCCCGATGATTGACCCTTGTGTGATTTTCGGACTGATGGGACAAGGAAGTGTTGCATGAACCTCGATTCAACACTTGGTGCATGGATGATAGGCTTAATTATGCTTCTGCATGAATTGGATAGGCATAATAAACTATTGAAAAGTTGCCTCATTATAGGATGATCTGTCTTGCGAGCCACTGACTTTCGCCCCTCTGACCGAAGGACAGGGCTTGTGTATACGCATATAAGCTCAGTCGGAGATGGGCGCTGCCTACATGCGAGTCCGCTAACCCTGAACTCAACTAAATCTCGAATGGTCAACGTTCCACCCCAACTTGCAACATGAATGTCAACGCCCCCATTTACATCACTGACCGTGAGTGCTTGAGGGATCAGGAATTTCGGGGATATTGGGAACACTCTCGCTTGTCTGCACGGCCCAGGGCGGAACCCTCGAACTTCCCTTACTTAACGGGGAACAAGCGAATCTGTGAGTGGGACCTCGATCAGGCCTTGGGACGTATTTCCTATCTCCTCGTCACAAAACCCGGGATCATCATCATAGGGACCGAGTTCCCTCCCTATCACCACATCCTACCCTACCACCCCCTCACCATTGTCCTTTGGCTCGCCATCGCCCCCTATTGGCCCCAACCCCTGTGCTCGGAGTGCCTGCAGGACCACGAGTACCAAGCTTCTGGCTTCATCCGGCGAACCCGCTCGGAGGAAGAACGACGAGCGCACAACCTTCGGCTAAGGCCAGTCGCGTCGGATTCCGAGGCCTGCGACGTTCAGCGCCGACTGTTGGTCAATCAGCGAGATAGCCATAGCGTCCCGACAGTTCACCAGATACGCGTCCGGCCCAGACGACGGAACCACTGGAGGCGATAGCCCCACGTTCCTAGGCCTACAGCAGGACTCCGACCCGCACCTATCCTCCTCCTGGATTCACATCCCTGAAACTTGTCACAGGAGATCTCAGTTCCGACCTGAGACTCCACCCCCACTTTCCAAAAATCCTTGGCACACCCCTTTTCGCACTTCCAGGCCCACCCACACTCCGATCAGGAAGTCGCGCTGGGTGTGAGG